GCCAGTTGGTATATTTCTTTGCTGATTTCCACATTTTCTTCCTCTGCAGTATCCCCCATGAAGTGGCGCTGAAAGATCACGTTAACACAGTTCCATGACATGAAATACCACAAGTCTGCAATTTTTCGGTCTTGGGAGCATCGCTGGGCTGAGAGGATGGAAATCTTTCAGTAATTATACCAGTTTGTATTCGTCTCACATTTGGGATCAAATACAAATCCGATCCACTCTTTCTCTCTGTGAATATTCATAAAAAACAAAGTGCCAATTCTGGGCTAATCATGTATGGAACCAAATATGTTGATGAGTCCTAAGTATATACTGTATGTATGTATACATACGAATGTATATATTTATACACACTAATTTTGCTTGTGTCCTCCACTGTGCAATTTGTTTGTTTAGGATAGGGGTTGCTGTTATAATGTGTTAATAAGCTGCTGAAAGCTTGGCACCTATTGCTTGAAATGACAGCTATGTTAGAAGCCTATTAACACTCCATAGCAGCAGCTCTGCAGCTACTAGAAATGAATTTCAAAGAAGGTAAACGAACAAAAGCGATTCATATCTCTAAGGAAAGCAAATACCATGCCCAGAACCATATACACTTTGGAAATGTACAGTATATAAAATGAAAAACCTCTTCCAGTTAAAGAAACAGCGGAAGAGAACGTTTGGAGAAAGGAAAACAGCCAAAATGATTTCCAAACAAACTTGAAGACATAAAGGTGAAGGATACCAAGCATCGCTTCCTGTCTTTGTTTCCATTGTATTTAGTGGAGAACCATGTCAAACTTAGTTATAGGAATAGAATGTACAGGTAGAGGAAATTCACTTTTCTCTCCATGAAAAAAACTGAAGTCATTTGGATTTAGCTCAAACTTTTTTGTAGTCTCTGAGTTAGAAGGACACCATTTGCCATTGTTCTCTGAGGCAGGCTCTTTATGAGTTGGTTCACTTTGCCTTGCTTTCTTTTTGACTGTCGCTGAAATTTTATAAGATGAAATTTACCCACTGAAAATCCTGAGTAAATTTTTTCCATGATAAAAATGTGGTAAGTTAGGTTGAGAGTAGGTGTTTCTTTCTTTTCTTTTTTTTTTTTTTTTTT